GGAGCTCCGGCTCGGGCCCGGCGCGGGTGCTCGCCGCTCCGCAGAGCGCGCCTGGCCGGACCTAGGCGCCGCACGGGCGGGCCGGAGCCGGAGCCAGAGCCGGCACCATGGGCTGCACGCTGAGCGCGGAGGACAAGGCGGCTGTGGAGCGCAGCAAGATGATCGACCGCAACCTGCGGGAGGACGGCGAGAAAGCGGCGCGCGAGGTCAAGCTGCTGCTCCTCGGTGAGCCCCGGGCGCGTGGCCGCGATGGGGCCGGGCCGGGCCGGGCGGGTCCCCATGGTCCCCCCCCCCATGGTCCCGATCCCCACGGTCCCAGTCCCCACGGTCCCGGTCCCCTAGCGTTCCCCGGGTCCCCGTGCACCCCAGTGTCCCTGCGCTCTCCCTGGTCCGCGCACCCCGGGTCTCCTTGTATCCCGGGCACTTGCTGCCCCTGGGGTCCGCCGCATCAGACCTTAAGTCCGGCTTGGCAGGGCAGAGAGAGGCGTTCTGGGCCCGGACCCTCCTTGTGCGCGCCGGGCGCGCCTTCTCGGCCTCTTGGGGGGCGACGTGTCCTCGTCCCCGTCTCCGTCCACGCCCACGGGACCTGCGCTCACCCGCGTTGGGGTCCGAGCCGCTGAGCCGGGCTTGGCCCGGTGGGGTTCAAACGGCGAAGTTGGGGTGCTCGTGACGCGGCGAGGGCTCTTTGGGTCCAGAGCGGGATCCCCTACCGCGGTCTCTGCCCAGCTTCCGGCCCCACGCCGGGCGCGTTTTCCCTGGTAGCTGTTTGCTCCCTGAACCGTGCAGGTCTTTCTCGATGGCTGCAAGAGGAAGGAAAGATGAAGAGCGAGCACAGGATTGGACCCAGGGATGCACTAGAGAGACAGGGGCAGCTGGAGATCCATAGGGCTTAACTGAGCCTTGCACTCCTAGGAAAGATGCAGCCGGCTGGCGGTGTGCAGACCCAGGCTGCCGGCTTCCCTTTTGTTCTCTTGCTTTCCGCCCCCACCCATAGGTGTTTAGGTGGATGGACAATTCCTTACAACCTTCATTTGCACTTTTCCTAGCAGTTGTAACCAAAAAAGAAACATGATTACTGCATGAGCTGTTTTCAGTAAGCGTCTATTGCATTGGTTTAAAGACTGCAGAAAAATGGTGGGGTTTTTTCCTTCACCATTGCTAGGAGGCTTAGAAGAAGCAAACTTGGCGTGACTAAAAGTAATGACGATCTGAGTAATTTTGCAAGCAAACTACAAAATAACTTTGCATTTTAAAGATCCGGGTGGCTTTGTCACCCTCCACAGCTTCTAGTGTAAGTCTTAGTACTACACAGTCAGCCTCAGCCTTTACCTAGCAAGCAGTACTGCGCTTTGAGGAGGTTTGGTGTTTGTGGAGTAAGACCCATAGGAGTGACGACTTGATATGGGTTGTGAGGTGCATGTTCTTGAGACAAAAAGTGAGGGCTCTGGACAAAAGGAGGATTGAGAAGTTCTTTTCCAGTAGTTGCTGTGCCCCTGTACTGCTGTGGCTTTTCTCTTCTCAGTTCATTTCCATGTGACCTCGGGTTTGGGCGAGCCACCCCATGTAAAGCAGCTGAAGGAGGAGTCCTGTGTTGGGGGAGGTCGCCCTTCAGCTAGATGGCCTTTTGAGATAGGCTGGGAGAAAGGCCTGAGGACAGATCTTGCTTCCTTGGAGAGCCAAGGAGTCAGTGTTCACCTAGTGCTCCTGGCATTTGGACTTGCAATCCTCGATCCTAGGCTGTGCAGGCGGGCTCCTGCCTGGGGAGATGCACCACGGCATCTTTGGCCTCTGCCCCTAAGATGGTGGTACCAACTGTGCAACCTGTGACCCTCAAAAATGATGCCAAATGTTCTCTGGGGGTGAAAATATAATCTCTGTCTAAAACTGCTCTTCTAGATTAACACTTAAATGTAGCTGCCTGTGTAATATTATAGAAGCAGATTTGGGCCCTGGAGACCTCTGTGGTGAACTAGGTATCACTCCTAGATAGTTGCTTTCAGAAGAAATTATGGAATTTTTGTTTTTTCTTCCCGGTGACATTGGAACAATACCAGAATGATTACCAGAATCCCCCCTGCAGGTTACTGAATTCCTTTGCCTTTTGCTGGTTGAGGCTTTGCTTTTCCATCCTCCCTTCTCTAGATAGAAACTCAGCCACACCCCTGGAGGTCCCCAGTGCTGTGCTGGCTTGGGCCTGCTGCACCCTACCCTCACCCTGCTCCCCTAAACCACGCATAGACGTGCTTATGTCATGGAACTGAACCCTTGGAATGCTTTGGAAACATTTTCCCCCACTAATTTGACTTCTGAATGCCGGTTTCTTTTTGAGTGTTTAATGCATATGTGAGGATTTCAGGGAAATCTTCCATCCTGGCTGTGGCAACTAAATCAAGTAGACTGGAAAAATGGGCTCTAAGAACCCAGAACCAGCGCTGCTCCCGAGACTCTGACTCCGGGTCCTGCCTCCTGGGTGCTACTTTGTTATGCTCATCAAATGATTTCTTTAAATTTATTTAAGGCTGAAAATCTCCAAAGTACACAGGAGTCAGTGTATTAAATAGCCTTTTTTTTTTTTTTTCTGATATGGGGTCTTGAATCACAGCTTGTACTCATAATGATCCTCCTGTCTCAGCCTCCCCAGTGCTGGGATTACAGGCATGTGCCACCACACCCAGTTTTGGTAGCTGGCACAGCGTGCCTGGGGTTCCCAGGCAGGTGCTGCATATGGTTCCAGGGATTGAACCCTGGGCCTTGTGCTTGCCAGCCAAGTGCTTAGACCTCTGAGCTATCTCCCCAGCCCCTTACTTTGCATTTAAAATTAAACAATGTGTTGTCTTTTTAGACATCTGGGTCAAGAGACTCAGACATGAGATTTGCACGTTAGTGAAGATTTTTGGCTCTGGATACCTAACACATTTGCTTTAAATCAGAGGCACTTCACCATCCTACTTAGCCACCATAAAGTAGGCCTTAAAGGAAGACCTGGTGCAGTGGTGGTGAACCCATGGCACGGTAGCCAGTTTGTATCGTTGAAAGCTCTAAAAGGCTTGCCACCACTGACTTCAACTTATCAGTGACCAAAAGGACCTTAAGTAAAGATTTGAGTAATTTGAGGTTTTCAGATTTTGGTTTATAGGTTTTAGCATTCAAATAAAATCCTAAGTGAATAAACTTATTTTAATGAAATAAGTAATAAGAGTTACCCTTGTATTCTGGGTAATCTCAGTGAAATCTATCTTCTGTTGTATCTCCGAGAATGCTGTAATTTATTGTCTTTTTATTTTTATTTTTTAACATTTTTATATATTTAGTACAAGGTCTACAGGATCTCACTATACAGATCAGACTCGTAGTGATTCTCCTGTTTTCAGCCTCCTAAGGGATTACAGGAGCATGCTACCATGCGCAGTCTCAATAGCCATCTCAGCGTGCCCGGGAGGATGGGGTGGGGTAAGGGGGTGGGGCTGGCACAGCAAGCCAGGGATCGAACCCTGGTCCATTCCCCAATCCTCCGATGCTCCTGCCCCTGCATCTGCCTAAGCAGGTGCTTTAATCTGCTGAACTATCTGGCTAGCCGTTAATGTCTTTTTAAAGGCAGCATTATTTTGCTTTTCAGTCAAATGGTAGTATACTGCTGTTAATGACTAATTATGGTAATTATTGTACTGTGATTTCCATAGACATAAGAGTATAATTTGCGGGAATTATTTTTGAAGTAGGGTTTCACCCCAAGCCTTTGCGTTTCTCTTCCTTTATTCCGTGGTACAGTCCTTCCCTTCAGCTCTCTGCACCTAAAACTCCACAGCAGCGTCCCTTAACAGTTTAACTGTTACATAGCCAGGGAAAAGGAGGTGAGGAGTTGGGCTTTGTCCCATGGCTGCCACAGGCAGCTGTTCGCCATACTCCATCTCTTGGCCTCTGCCTTTGCACTTGCCTGTCACTTCCCCAGTTGAGCAATCCTGGCAAGGTCAGAAGGAGCATTCTGTATTGTTCTAGCCACTTTCTTACGCTTGGCTCAGAAGGTTCGCCAACAGAAAGCCCATTCCTTGAGTGGAAGAGCCTGGTGGTTTGGTCTCTCTGTGGCTGGTCTGTCTCTTATTCAAAGCCACCCAAATGGAGGCCACAGGTGGCCTAAAAGTGCAACTAGGGTGGGCTGATTCCTGGTGTGTCTGTGTCTGCTGTTCACGTTCTCAGATCCCTCGCGGTCCCAGCACCCTTCTCTGCTTCTGACCTCTTGCTTCCGGAGCCTTCCTGCTTCTGTTCTTCTCGCTCTGTGTCTTGCTTGGTCAAAACTCTTTAAAAATGTCTCGTACGCCTGACTCTGTCCTTGGATATTCACCTCAGAGAACCTTCCTCCCACACTGGAGCATCCGCATAACTGCTGCTGAGCGTGTTTGTGCTTGGTTGCTAAGATGTGGTCTTGTCCTCTTCCTATTTCCCTGTGCTGTGCGCACCGTAAGGGGAGAATCCTTCCACCCCTTCCAGTCTGTCCTGTAGAGTATGTGTCTTAAATCACGTGACATTATCTCGCTGAAACGCAGACGTCATGTTCTGCCATATTTCTTTTCAGTGTCTGGGGCGCTAGATAACTACCCAGCTAAACGGTATTTATGCAAAGAAGTAGGAAAATCGTGTGATGACTGATACACACGCTTGACATTTAAAAGAAAACACTTCGGTTTATTATTTTGCTTCCATATTTATTTGAATTGAGTATCTATAACTACATCTGATTATAGCAGTGTTGTAATTCTTTTACATGAAAATTCAGTTACCAGCCACAGTCTTCATTCTTGTTCTGTTGCACATTTCTCGCTGCCTTAAGGAAATTCAAGATACAGCAGCTCCCTCTGAGAGGGCTGGAGTGGATTGGTTTCCTGGTCACATAGTTCTTGATCGCACGTCCTGGCGTGCATGACCTTGGTGTAGGACCGCTCTGCATGGGATGTGCTGAAGGCCCCGTCCCAGGGCCAAGAGCCCGGAGCCCATGACTGAAGGTAGCAGACCTAATCTCAGATCCCTTAGGCTGCTTTCTCTCTTAATTTGTTTCATGCTAATTATCTTAACAAAACTAGGGCAAAAAAACCTTTAAAATGCACATTTATTATCATAACATAGTGCCTTCAAATAACATAGAAATCATTACCATACAGTCTTGGAGCTCAGTAGCCCTTTGAAAGGGGGATCTTTCCCCCCAGATGTCCTAGAGGACCATTCCTCTCATT